TCTTCAGAAGAATGGTGAAATAGATGTACAACAAGTTCGTTCAAGTGATAATTTGGCTGATCTTTTCACTAAGGCATTACCAACCTTAATATTTGAAAAACTGATATATAAGATTGGAATGCGTCGTCTTCGAGACATTAAGTGATTTTTNTAAGATTTATAACTCAACACATTCAACAAACATGTGGTCTTTCTTCGAAAGAGAATATTCCAACAATATTGTATGAAGACAATGCTGCATGCATAGCTCAATTGAAAGGAGGATATATCAAAGGAGATAGAACAAAACACATTTAACCGAAATTCTTTTTCACTCATGATCTTCAGAAGAATGGTGAAATAGATGTACAACAAGTTCGTTCAAGTGATAATTTGGCTGATCTGTTCACTAAGGCATTACCAACATCAATATTTGAAAAGCTGATATATAAGATTGGAATGCGTCGAGACATTAAGTGATTTTTCATCAGGGGGAGTAACTACACGCTGCACTCTTTTCCTTAACCAAGGTTTTGTCCCACTGGATTTTCCTGGTAAGGTTTTTAATGAGGCAGCAAACAATGCATATTATAAATAACTATGTACATCCCAATATTTTTTTTGTAGGTTTTTAATGAGGCACATTATCTTACATGAACATCCAAGGGGGAGTGTTATGAATAGTTTGTACTTTGGATACTACTTTGAATACTACATTGGATACTACATTGGATGCTATATTCGATGCCCATGTTGTGAATAACTTAAAGATTAAATTTTATATTTTATGTCCATCATCTTTACTTTTTATGTCTATAAAAGGCCATGTAATTGCAATGAAAAATTATACCAAAGTGAAAGAAGAAAACACTTCTCCATTCTCTCTATCTCTTCTTGTTTACATTTTACTGCATTGCTTTTATTTTATAACAATGTTGATATTATTATCTGGAAACTAATAATGCAATATTTTTATGCAGTGTATAGTAATATAAGAATTGTCATGTAAACATTGCTTATTAAGGATTTTAATCGTTAAGAGTATTATTTATGCATTGCTAGTACATGTTTCTTCATCTCCAATTTTATCTTGCATAATTTGAATCATAAATTTTGCCTATATTAGAAATGCATAGTTTAAATTTTTATGCGAACGCTAATTATGTAGAGTTTTATAGCAGTAATTATAAAGAGTATAAAATAGACAACCGAAAATGAAAGAGTGAATATTATGGAGCTTAAATGAAATTTCTAAAGGTAAGTTCAAGTCGAAAATATACCAGTTTTATATCATAAATTAAGTGTTGCACTAGTTATGATAAATTTATACTAGCATTATATGACATTCTTGTGGTATAAAATAAGCGATAGACGTTGGTATGAGTTATTTAACTATAAAATCATGTCATTCGAGGTAGAGTTGGAAGGTCACACAAATAAATATTCTGACATAAATTTATTTTGTGCCAAATAAGACTAACCATATAAATTGAAATAGTGTTTACCTAATTTTTAAATATCTATATTTTGCTTCAAAAATGAAAAACATTACTTTAGTATCCGAATTAAGAGAAAATTTAAGTACTTTGACCCTTGCACTTGGAGACTCGAGTATCTTCATTCTTTTTCTAAACTGAAATTGTAAAAATTACTAGTAGTATAACAGTTGGCCCGCTTGTGCCCAAGGCTCTGCTTTTCTTTGGCTTGTACACCGCACCTGTCGACTGTTGGAGTCCTCTATCTGTAACAATTATCAATTTTGTAAGAAATATTTCTTCATTTCTCCTTCTTCTTGCGAAGCTTTCTCATGGCTGTAGCTTAAATATATGTGTATGCACAGGCTTAGGCTGAGAGCGAACAACGATATCCAATTGGTCTGATAAAAAAAGAAGATTTTTATGGGTCTGAATCTAGAATAAACATCTTAGCTTAAAGTTTTAATCTTTGAGGATTTGGATCCTGATTGATACATCCACGTTAGCTGTTCGACAAAATGTTTGCCTCAGAAAGGTTTTTGTGAAAGTTTTATCTAGTCTTAGGATGATTTGGTGATGCCTCTGAACCGGGATCAATACAAAACATAACAGAAATCGAGTTTGGGATTTCTCCTCATTTCTTGGAATTTACAGTTTATTTATTCTCGAGTTTAGTGAGACTTTCCTCATTTCGTGGAATTTTCAGTTTTGTTTATTCTTGAGTTTCGTTAGACTTTCAGCATTTTTAGGTTACTCAAAGGCAAAGCGCATGTATTTATGTTGGCTATTTTGTATGGGTGTTTGGATTTCTATTTTGCTGCTCTTATGCTGTATCGAAATTGAGCTCTATGCTGTGCTGCAAATTAATTGTATTTCTAGGGTGGGGATATCTCCAATTAATGTTTGAGTACTGCACACATTGTTAGCTTTTCAGAATGTAATAGCTCAATTCATACCACATTCGGATGCTGGGTATGTCTGCTCTCACTCCTTAGTAAGATAAAGAAAAGTAAGAGTTTGTTGAATCACAATCATTTCCTCAAAAAAAAAAAAAAAGAAAAAAAAAAGGTTGATAATTGAGGTTACTCCAGTATAGCTGATTCTTACTAGATTAGGATTGAATAGTTGTTATTGTTGTTGGTTTGTTATTGTTGAAAGTCGTTCTCGTATAACTTTCAAAACATTGACTGAGAAATTAATACTCCTAACTTTTTTTGTATCGATGTCCTTATCACCCTCTCTTTAAAAAGTGGTCTCCTAAACGTACTGTCCATCGATTTTACCACCCTCTTTCTAAAAGGTAAGTAAATTTAAGGGATTGATTTATAAGTTCAACTCATATTACTAGTTAGACAAAGAAAAACAATGAGAAATTGTAAGTGTAACTTTTGAATCAAGTAAAGGAACAATTAAATGAAAAACTGGAGGAAGCTATAAATATAATTAGCTTTTGCCTTTTCCTTTTCCTTGCGCACATCCGGTACTTCTGGTTTTCTAATTTTGCACCAGCCACATTGAGTTGTCTTTTTAAACAATTTCTTAAGATCTGTTTCTTTATTACTCCATTTTCGCGTGAACTCTCTCATCGCTGTATGAGTATCATGTGAATGTAAAAGATGTGCAAATGCTTACTCGACGGTATTAAAAAGAGAGAAAATTTACTAGGTATGAAGTGAGGACATTCATCTCGGAAAGTTTAGTCTTTGATGAATATGCAGAGAAAATATCAAATTCTCCATATGTGTGTTCGAAAAAATATTCAGAGAGGAAGATTGTGCTCTTCTTCTGTAGGAAGATTTACTTAGCATTAGGAAAAACATATCTCTTTAATGATACTCTGGGTCTGGGGCTTTTCTGAGTATAAGCCCCTCTCCTATTGGAGCTAAAGTAGTAAAGCTAGTAATAAAAAATCCTGGTGTTTCAAAGAAATCAAATCCTGGGTTACTGAGTTTCTCGATACTTTTTAACATTTTAGGTTACTCGAGCATGATTCATCAAGCTTAGGCTAGTTATCCTCTCTTGTATGTAGGTGTTTGAATCTCTACTGTTCATTGTTGTTACCATTATTCGTTGATGTCTCTTTTCATTGTTTCCCTAATGGTGTAATTTCATGTTGTCACCAGTTCACTAAGTGGTCTTGTTTGCACGGTGCATACTGCAAACACAATGCTTCTGGAGTGCCATTGCACGTCACTAAAATACAATGAAGTGGCTAGCAAGGCTACAAGAATTTAGGCGATACAAAGCTTTATGATAACACCCAATTTTTCCAAATTGGCGGTTCGATCTATGATTTATCATTCATGGACGTTGATAAGATCCATCAGTATTTACTAAGTAAAGAAGTAAGAGCTTGTTGACCAGAGAAAAATGAGACTGCTTTCCCACCAGTTCAGCTCCAAGGATCTCTTGTCTATGGTCATGTGTTCTTCCACTTGGCTGTCCAAGGCGGAGCCACTGTCTGCCCGGTACAATTTTAAATGCCATTATCATACACGACAGCCAGAGCAAGATAGAAAACAAATACAAACAGATGAACAAAAACAGAACAAGAAACAGGGACCTTCTATTGGCTCTCCAGCTCGAATCCAGAAACTTATCGCTTCCCAATCAGATCCACTCCTTGCTAAAGAAATATTTGATTTAGCCTCTCGAGAACCTGATTTCCGGCATTCCTGTGCCACTTTCCACACCCTCATCCTCAAGCTTGGCCGTTCCCACCAGTTCTCCCTCATGCAGTCCGTTCTCTCTTCCCTCAAGTCACAGCAATATTCCGTCTCCCCATCTCTTTTTTCACACATCATCCAAATCTATGGTGATGCTGGCTTACCTGACAAAGCCCTTAAAACTTTCTATACTATCCTAGAATTCAATATGAAGCCCCTTCCTAAACATCTCAACCTCATTCTTGAAATACTCGTTTCTCACCGAAACTTTCTTCGACCTGCATTTGATCTCTTCAAATCTGCACATAAATATGGCGTTTTGGCCAACACCACATCTTACAACATTCTAATGCGAGCGTTCTGTTTGAATGACGATTTAAGTATTGCCTACTCGCTGTTTAATCAAATGTTTAAGAGGGACATTGCTCCTGATGTAGAGTCATATAGGATTCTGATGCAGGGTTTGTGCCGAAAAAGTCAAGTGAATAAAGCTGTTGACTTGCTGGAGGACATGCTGAATAAAGGGTTTGTTCCTGATGCTTTAAGTTACAGCACTCTATTGAACAGCTTGTGTCGGAAGAAGAAACTTAAGGAGGCTTACAAGATTCTTTGCAGAATGAAAGTAAAGGGTTGCAATCCAGACATTGTACATTACAATACAGTTATTCTGGGGTTCTGCCGAGAAGGCCGCGCTGCTGATGCCTGTAAGGTCCTTGAGGACATGCCATCAAATGGGTGTCTTCCCAATTTGGTCTCTTATCGGACATTAGTCGGGGGTCTAAGCGATCAGGGAATGTACGATGAGGCGAAGAATTACATGGAGGAAATGATGTCAAAAGGCTTCTCTCCACATTTTTCTGTGGTTCATGCGGTTGTGAAAGGTTTCTGTAACATAGGTAAGCTTGAGGAAGCTTGTGGAGTAGTGGGGGATATTTTGAGCCACGGCGAAGCCCTACATACAGAAACATGGGGAGAAATCGTATCCAGGATCTCCGAATGGGATGATGCTGAAATTGGGAATATCTTGGAGGAAATTATTAGAGCTGAAATAAAACCTGAAACGAGAATAGTGGAGGTTGGTGCTAGGTTGGGCGAATACTTGATGAACAGAATAAAAAGTAAATCAAGAAAGGGTTGATCATTTCACAGGACAAGAATTGGTCCTGAGTAGCTGCTCAAACCTGCTATATGCATGGAAAAGTGTTTACTTTGGAAGATAGCAAATGCACATGAAACCTGCTGTGGTTAATTCGAATGCACAGCAGGTTTCAGATAGGGAATTCGAATTTATCTTGCTAACTCGTCTGGCCTGTTCATTGACGTATTTGATTTCGCAAGGTGGGTTGTCCTCTCTCATGTTCTAATCGACTTTGTGGGCATATAGAATCATACTTTCTGTGTTTTCTTTAATAAGTTCTATACTTGGAGAAGCCAATTCTTTTGAGTAGTAAAGTCAAGCATATCTGCCATTATTGATTAATTTTTATTTCCATCGTACCTTTCTCAGTTTTGCAGAACTCTTTACAAGGGGTGAGTCCTGTGAGAGTTGTTGGTGCAATAACTTGTCAAATCATGTTGAATTTCTCAATTTTATTCCTAAGAAAGAATGGAGCAACATTGAAGAGGCAGAAATGCAAAGACATGGTGTAAATTTACTAATGTCGTCTTCAATGTCAAGATAAGTGGGGTTTAGTGTCATCCGATATTAATTTAGGTAGGGATTCAGAAATAATGACAGGTTTTGCTGACTATGACTTAACTGTTTTAGGGACTTTTAGAGGACAAATGCCTCGGTTATTTAATTATCTGATCTATGTTTATTTTCTATCTGTATCAATGGGTTGATCAGAAGTGGAAATATGGTTAGAGTTCTTATTCTTTCATTATTGTAAAATTTCCAATTATTTCTTAAGCAGTGTTGAATGAGGCATTGGTCCACAAGTAAATGGTTGGTCCACAAGTAAATGGTAAAAATTGCACGGGGCGCCCTATTTGGTCGCCCCTATTTAACCTATACCCATTTTTTTAAAAACTTTTAACCTGTACTCACTTTTTAAACAACTTCAGCTCCCTTTCTCCTCCTCCTTCTCCTCCTTCATTTTCTTTTTTCTTCCTCTACAACGATGACTTCAACATTGCTCTCTTTGATTAATGAAGCTAAAGCAAATATACTGAGGACTTCCAGTTGGATTATTATAACATTAAAAACCAGTTTTCTCATTGTCTGGAAACACAACTCCGTCATCCATTGCTGGAAATTTATTTGATACCGTAAATGTTTCTGCTCCAGCCTTTAACAGTAAGTTTCAAATTCATTCTTTCCCATGCACATGGAGTTTGTTCTTCTTTTTCTTTTCTCTTTTCTTTAGGATGTCATATATTCAGAAAAAAATAATATCTTCTGCAAAAAACTTAATAAATAAATAATTTTACTGGCTTGTTCAGACGCCCCAGATTCGACGTTATCTGCCTTGGCATCATGGTTTTGCGGATTGATCAATCGAAAAGCATCAATTACCACTTTCCTTTTAACACTCTGAATTGGATCCGATTACATAAAATTTGGGTGAGTTATCAAAAACTAGAACATCTTGATAGTGGGATTCCTCAGTTATAAAGACAAAAACTTCAGCTCTAGAGCTGAAGTTTCCCAGTTACAACACAAAAACTTCAGCTCTAGAGCTGAACTCCAGGCCCGGCTACTAGAATGCTGAAGTTTTGCGTGATTGTCTTTACTACTTCAGCCCTGTATGCTGAAATTATGCGAAAAAGCGGGTACGTTTGTAATTTTTTTTGCAAAGCTGACACAAGTTAAAATATAACACAAAAAGCGGATATAGATGCAAATGCCCCAAGTAAATGTAATCCAACGCAAAGAGAGGAAGTTTTCTTTGCCGTTTGCATGACGTTCTCTACTGTAGTACTTAAATACAAACTGTACATTTAGAAATGTTAATGGTTGAATGAAGTTTGTGATGTTGATTCTGATCATGAACGATAAGTATTAAGGATCAAAGTGAGGTACAAGTTGAGTATGAGATTATTATTTTGTATTTCATACAACTATGTAAGGATGATTCTTGTCTCCTGTAATTGAGTTTTGCTGATCCTCTTATCTTACCCTTGTTTGGGCCTTTCATTTAAGAAAAATTTACACATTTACTTTTCTCACGCAATAAGAGTATTATTTTTACCAAGAAATCTTTTTACCCTCCCTACTCAAGTTTCAACTTAATTTAAAGGTGTCAAAGGGGTGNCGGGTCCGGGCCCATCCAGTGAAATATTGAACCGGAACGGTTAAGGGCCTAAGGAGTCGGGCTGGGCTGGGTTTATTTTTTATTTTGTATTTTGTATAACTATCGTAATTTATATTAATATAAAGTAAAAATATAAAACAAAAAAACAATCTTATAAAAAGAGTGTTTGAATAAAGGATGCAAAGACTTTAAAATCCTTATATTTGAACTTTTCATTAAGAATTTAAGATAATAGAATACAATGAAGATGGAAAAAAATTGCACTTATAATTTGCAAGTTCTTTTTTTATTTCAAATTTGTAAATTAAAGTTTACATTTAACAGTAAATAAATTAACGAAAAAAGAGTAAATTTAAAGTTTAATTATCTATATACTATATTAAAAGCACGAAGACCCTTAGCGAAATGTCGTTCGGCTTTTTTACCCTTTTAAAATAGAGTTCATATTGGACAAAATAGTAATTTAATTATTTATTTAATATTTAGAATTACAAATCAACTAAAATTTAAAACTTTCCTTGTTTGAACTATTTAAGAATTCCTAATATTTAGGAATTTAAAGTTGTGTAAGATTTGACTTATATGAATTCTTTCCATATTTGATTGGTGTCCAACTTCTTCCCCCAAGATTTGAACATTTGATTATTCTTTTTTTCCCGACAAAGGAAATCTTCAAACTCTTCTACTTTAATTTATTTCTTTAGGTACATATTCCACATGCAAAGTATGATGGGAACTTTAAAAATAGGTGAATTCAATAACTTTTCGTAAATTATTAAACCAATGAAGTGACTATTTTTGTTTGTCTTATTAAATTTTAATGTTTTAGAAATGCTTTTTTGGCCCACACACGTTTCAAAAAGGTCATGTAAATGATACATTTTAATTCATTCTTATGTTAGTAACTAAAACCTAAAATTGAGAACTCATAAATTCAAATTTTTATTTGTATTATTTGACAAATATTTGAAGAATCGTAATAAAAGTATAGCTACTAGCTACTCATGTTTGTGTTTTCTCAAATGAACTTGAGAATATCTTTCCAAAAATATTTTTAAAAAACTATTATATCTGCTAGGGATATGTATATTGTTGAACTAAAAGGGAAGCATGATACCTTGTGAAATTAAAATGATAAATTATAAAATTGTAACAAATATTAGCTGAATATATTGAATGATGATTGAGAACTTCTATGAGACAATGTTTTTTCCTTTCATCAATTTCAGGAGCTTACACTTTTATTTTATCCTTCAGACATAAATCTTTTAATTAATATTTGTGTGTGTGTATATATATNTACAATTATGTTATGCTTCGCAGTATTATATTACGATGATGTTACACCCTGTAGTATTATACGTGGAATTGTCATAATATAATTGACCTCAGTTCAAGGACAAGATTATTTGGAGATTATAAGCATTATTCTATTTCAAACAAGTGATGAGTAAACTCGTGAAGGTGAGAGGGTAAGCAAATCGAAGAAAATGAATTTTCATCAAAGCTTGGCGATTTGGGATAAAATACGGTCCGAGATATAATACCCGGTATTTATGAACTAGTGTCATACAAGGTACTACATGACCATGATAGTAAGATATACAAGGTATGTTAAAAATGAGTAGTATTTTAAGTAACTTGAGATAATTCTTAATTATGTAGGTGATTGGTTAATTATTGAATAATGAGATATTACCCAATTAATTAAAGAATTATATTGGATAGAGATTAAGGGCATGAGGTGGCAGCCCCCATGCAAATTGAAATGACTTATGATACAAAATGAAAGGTGGCATCTGAAGTGTCATATAAATGACACTTACGTAAAGACTATCAAGACATTAAATGTTCGGATTGTGGTCTTCATTGGCCTTAAATTATTCAAGGTAAGCTTATAGTTTTTTTTCTAAATCCAAACATTTACAAGAACAAAAGTTAATCTCACTCCAATAAGAGCGGATATTAATCTTGAAACAAAACAATTCCAACGAGTTTCTTAGCACCGTAGCAACGTGAGCTTTTGCGATTATGGTGCAACCTTTTCCAAGAATATCATACGAATTTTTCCCTACTCAAGGTATGTTAAGGCTATCCCTTCTTTCCTTTTGGCATGATCCATACGATACAATTTAAACGAGCAAATACAATTTCATAAATGACTCTATTCATAGAAATGCTAGAGATGCTTATATTCTTGATTCCTCATATGTCTTATTATTCTATCATCTGTTCATGGGTCTCAGAAAATACGTAAGTTGATAAAGTTTATTTTATGATATTAATCAGAGGCAAAATGGTCTTATGACGTTCTGAGAGATTTTATTAACGTACTTCTCATGCATTGCATTCATTCATAAATGTACATTGACTCATGACTAGATGGCATTATATATGCGTGTATATATATATATGTATATATATGTATATAGGATATGGAAAAAGGTTACGGCGTTATATATGCACCACCACCTGATCAGTTGGTATATGTTGATGATTTTCCCACAGTGGCTGAAATGATATGATGGGACGCCCTTAGAGGCTTGATGATATTATGAACGTATATACCTATGCATGGTATGACATTTATATGCATATGCATGATATTATAAAAATAAAATGATTCACAGAGCTATGCAAACATACATGTTGAGTCTTTTACTCCATGTTTCTCTCATGTCTATTATTTACTGATTTTCATTCCTTACATACTCGGTACATTATTTGTACTGATATCCTTTATGCATGGGGACATTGCGTTTCATGCCCGCAGGTCCCAATAGATAGGTCGAGAGCCCTCCAAGTAGGCTATCAGCTCAACGGAAGATGTTGGTGCGCTCCATTTGCTTCGGAGTTGCTTGTTTAGTTAGTATGATTTAGACGTGTATTGTTTGATAAGGCGGGACTCTGTCCCGACCTTTATAAAAATTATGTATTCTTAGAGGCTTGTAGACAGATGTCATGTATGTAAAAGATTGTATGGCCTTGTCGGCCTATGTTCAGTGTACAAGTGGTTATTTTGGTCTTTTAGGCCCATGTCTTATGTATAAGTTGGTATCACATGTTGTATTCTACTTATCTCATGGCAGTCTTTCGGCTCAATTATCTATGATAGTATGACATGAAAAGATATGTTATATTAGTACTCAATTGAGTAAGATACCGGGTGCCCATCGCGACCCATCGATTTAGGTCGTGACAAAAGTAGTATCAGAGCAGTTCTATCCTAGGGAGTCTACAAGCCGTGTCTAGTAGAGTCTTGTTTATGGGTATGTCGTGCACCACACTTATAAGCAGGAGGCTCCAGGATATTTAGGACTGTCACTCTTTCTTCCTACTCTAAATCGTGTGGTAGAGCTCAGTTGTAAGAACTTAATTTCCTAAACTTTATCTTATTCATAATACGACAATACCTACATCCAGAAAGACGGTTGGTAAGAGATATAGCTGTGGAAGAGTTGGGTCAGAGGAACTCAATTTTTGCATCATGCTTATAATGGATAAATATGAGGTATTCAGCAAATCATGTGTATACTAAGATGCGTAAGCTTCTTGATAAGGATCCCTAAGGCAAGAATGCCTATCCACTCTTACAGTAACAAGGAATAAGGAGGGAGACACAAGTTTCAGCAAGTAAAAGAAGCAAG